TGGCATTGGCCGTGGAACATTCCGGAGTTTCCATGATGCTTATATGGAAATATAGTCCCTGTGCGCAGCTGGCCGTCGGTGGAACTGTACCACATGGGCTTAAACCTGCGCCACACTGAGCCTGGGCTGTTTTGTTGAGGTGTGTGTGTGTGTGTGTGTGTGTGTGTTTGAGCCTGGTGTTTTGTTGGATCGCCCTTAGTAAGCAGGTTGAAAGGCCCGTTGTAATGAGAGACACAGCTGTGGTGTGGGAAGATATGAGAGAAAGAGAGAGACCACAGCGAAAAAGAGAACGCTCTAAATAAATGAGGGAACCACACCATCAGCACTTTATGCTCAAGCATCAAAACAGAGTCTGCAAGCAACGGTGTTTAAAGTCAGCACGCAATCTAAGTGATGCTGTTGATCTGCCAGGCAATGATTTATCATTGTAGGTTAATGCATTGGGGGGAAAATGGCCTTCATTGTCCATCATTATAGGGGAATCATTTGCTGATGCAATAAGATGACTTTGCATTGACGACAGCAGGCAGCAAGTTCGCTCTGGCCACTCTGAGGAAACACTGTCTGTCTTTACAGCCCTGTCGGCAAGAGTGTCAAAATTTGCTATGTTGATTTTAAAGTAGATGCTGCAGAAAATCAGTTACCTTCCCGCGTAAAAACATGCTTTCTAGCATGAAAATGTTGTGCTTTATTATATTCATTTGAGTATGGAAGATCAAGTTGTTGCATGTGGTGGAGCTTTGTTTTACTTATTAAATATGGGTCCATATATCTGAAATATGCTGAAGCTGCAGTACTGTTTTGTATTGTCGTTATTGTTAGCATGAGATTCCCACTTTAAAAAAAAATGATAATAAAAACATTAATGCACATTAACTTTTTTTTTTTTCCATGTACGTCCCTATAAGAAAACATCGTAAATAATTGGAAACCGTAAATAATCAAAGCTTTTGGAACTATTGTGGTTGGAACCAAAGTTCACAGGACTGTCTTCTCTTGAATCGTCTTAAGTGCTGGACATTTACATTTCGACTGTTTGCCGCCGAACCACATCATAGCTCATTACCATAAAGTTGACTTTATTTCAACTCTCTTCGATGCTCAAACTGGCGAAGACGCACTGTTATTGCTGCGGGCTCCCATTGAAAATAAATGACTTCCGGCTACTTTGACGCTCTCGCCGCTTTTGGTGTGAACGCACTGTAATTCCTCTATGACTATAGCAGTTTTCACAATTCAATCAATCGTAAATAAGTAAAACCTGCTTTATTTTATTTTTTATTTTTGTTTTGTTTTGTGTAGATTTGGCACAATTTGGTTTTATGTTGATTTATTGTTATGCTGGGTAAATGAACACGTGACTATCGCCTTAATGCATTAATTAATTAATTAAGGTAAACAATTATTTTGTTGTGAGTTAACTACAGCTGTTTTAATATATATTTTGAAACGCTGTTGTTCACTGGCTTCAAATGCACATAGCGGGAAGCCATAGGCCCCAAGAGGTTGGGTGGGGGATTAGTATTGGCTTGGGAATGGCATCGCACTTCTCAACCAGTGAAAACTTTTGGGGCAAGACTAAAGAGCTGATTTATACTGCTGCACTGAGTGATCGCCGTGACCCATGGCGTATGTCTCGCGTATTGTCATGCATTTATACTTCTGCATGATGCTTGTGTTGCTCTGCATTAACACTTCTGAAACGTTTGCTGGCAGTGAGGTTTTTATGTTCCTTTGTGTCAAGTTTCTTTATGGGTGTTTTGTTTTTTCTTCTGACTGTTACCTTAATGTACAAGTGTCTAAAACTCGCTCATAAAGAAATGGAACTGGTGGACGTGCAACAACTTTAATCATAAAGTAAACACTAAACAAAAGTTTTCACATGGAGCTCCTTCACAGGACTGGACACTTGTTAAACACTCGCTTGAACCGGCTCGCTGCGCCACCCACACTTCTCACTGCTTGCACTGTGTGTCATTGCAACGTGTAGTTACATTTTTTAGAAAGGTATGCATCAGCCACAGCAAAGGGTATGCGTCGGACCATTCGCGTGTGCTTGACGTCTAAGTATAAAAAAGCTGTGAAACTGACGCTTTTGCTCTCACATGAACCGGACGGCACAAAAATATGGATAAAAGTAGCAAACTCTTAAAATAAAAGTGTGTAATGCACCTCTTTTAAAATCATTATTGAATTTTGTGCATAACAACTCGATTAACTTTGCTTTTATCTATATTTTTAGTTTTTTCCTTTGTTTGCTGTTTTTTGTATAGTGTTATTATTTTTTGTGTGTTTTTGTTTTGTGGCTTTGCTTATTTTTTATTTATTTATTTTTTTACTTTATGTGGGTTTGTGTTTTAAATTCTGACTGTTTTTGTTGCCTTTTTGGTTTTGTTTGCTGTTTTGTTTTGTGTGAAATGTTATTGCAGTCATGTCAGAAGTAAAATCGCCTGCTTTTTTTATTAATGTGTTTCATTAATGCTTTTAAATAGTTGACCCAAGCATCAATTCTAAGGCAAACGTGTGTGTGTGTGTGTGTTTTTAAACCATTGCATGGGTTAAATACAGAGATTTTGGCCTGTGTCATTCAGAGCCAGAGAGCTGCACTATTTAGCGTGTTTATGTCTCTGAACATGCTGGCATAGAATGGCTTTAAGATTACGATTTCCCAGAGAGCAGCTCTTTATCTCCTTATGTAATGCAATACCACTGTGGTGCTGAGTGTTTTTTTCTTTCTTTCTTTTTTTTCTTTTCTGGTGTGTGTGTGTGTATTCTTTTGCGTGCGTGCATGTGTGAGAGAGCTGAATTAGGGGTTGGTTTACTGGACAGGTGGTGCGAGGTGAAACAGGTGGGAGGGACAGGTGGGGGTGACGAGCACACGCACACACACACACAAATTGATGGTCATATAACCTCTACGGTGGTTGATTAAAGTTAATATATGCATTGTATTTTCTATCTAAAGGAGTCGAGTGTCAGAGTTTGTACTGCTTTATAATGATGCTCTATCTCTTCATTATTAACAGCTATTGTTTAATGTATTGCCGGCAGCCTCTCTTTAATGAATAACTCACCTTTTTGGTTAACTTTTATGCTTGAGTGTCGACAGTTGGAGGTTTTGTTCAGCTGATGCGTAATCATGCCTTGTGTTGATAGGTGAAAATTACTCCAGCTGCTTTCTTGTTGGTTGGTAGGTTACCATTGCAACAACTCTGCAGTGATAGGCTCAGTATTCAATTTAGGGGAGACAGTGCAGGAAAAAGAAAGTGTTTTGCAGTCTAGTGCGAAGAACACATAATACACTTTAAATGTTTTCTTTTTATTATTATCATTATTCATTTATGTCTATAGATTTCCATAATACATATAATTTTAGGCATTTTTCTTAAAATATGTATATTTATTTCTCTTGCCTTGAGCCATAAATCTCTTCTTCAGCTTGTCTTGCATATATTAAGTTGTGTTGTTGTATTTATATATACAGTTGAAACCAGAAGTTTACATACACCCTAAAAAAAGGAAAATAACAATTAAAAAAAAAAAATTTCTGATGGTAAATCATACTAAACGTCTACTATTTTAGCTCTGTTAGGATCACCTAAATTATTTACTTTTGCTAAATGCCAAAATAATTTCTTTTAGAGTTAATTTGTAGACACTCAAAAGTTTACACACATTTCCTTGGTATTTTTTTAGCTTTGCTTTTAAACTGTATAACTTTGGTCAAATGTTTTGAGCATCCTTCCACAAGCTTCTCACAATAGTTTAAAGGAATTTTGGCCCAATCCTCCTCACAGAATTGGTGTAACTGAGTCAGATTGTCTTGCTCGCACAAGCTTTTTCACCTCTGCCCACAATTTTTCTATAGGATTGAGATCAGGGCTTTGTGATGGCCGCTCCAAAACATTCACTCTGTCATCCTTAAAGCACATTTGAACTAATTTGGCAGTTTGCTTAGGGTCATGGTCTGTTGGGAAGACTCATTTGTGGCCAAGTTTTAAGTTCCTGGCTGATGTCTTGAGACGTTGCTTCAGTATTTCTACATAATGTTCTTTCTTCATGATGCCATCTATGCTGTGAAGTGGACCAGTCCCTCCTGCAGCATAACAGCCCCACAACATGATTGGGATGGTGTTCCTAGGCTTGTAAGCTTTCCCGTTTGTCCTCTAAATTTAACACTGGTCATTATGGCCAAACAGTTCAGTCTTAATTTCATCAGACCACAGGACATATCTCCAAAAATGTGTCTTTTTCCCAGTGTAATTTAGCAAATTGTAATCTGGCTTTTGTCGTTGATTCTGACTTGTTGATTTCCCCATGTTGTCACACAGGAAAGCAGTGTGTTTGAGGTTTTCCCTAAATACTATTCTACAGCTCTGCCTCAAATGTTGTCAATTAGCCAATCAGAAACTTACAAAACCTTGACACCAGCTTCTGAGCTTTTTCAGAGTCATTATAATCTTATTGTGCGTAAACTTGACTTTCAGGAAAACTTATAAAAGTTTCTCAAAACATATCTGTCATTATTCTGCTATTAAGCATAACAGAAACAAACTTGATAATCCTAACTTAACTAAAAAAAGAAAAAGTTTAGTCACATTAACATCTGACTTTTTTAAAGGGTTATGCGCCTTTTTATATAGCGTATGTACACTTCTGGTTTCACCTGTATATTATAAGTTTTTTTTTTTTCATTGGATGTTTATAATGTGCCTGATTATAAACAATATTTCATTACAAATATTCTCTCTCTTTTTAGGCTGTTCACAGTTTTTCTTGAATTATATAGTGGTAAAAAAGACAATATTTGACTCTAATATGTTAAAAAAAAATGTAGAATGAAATTAATCCAGGGTTCAGATTTTTGTGTAATTCACTAAAGTAGGACTGCACAATATATGGCAGAATTATGGTTAGCGTGTTAATAATGCAGCCGCAGTTCATGCATTATCCTATACTGTATGTGTATTGACTGAGGTCTTGTTGTTGTTGTTTTTCAGAGCCGATTGTAAGGAATGGCCGGCCGCCGTCGTCCCACAGCATGCACTCGTTTTTGCACCAGTACACAGGCTCCTTTAAGAAGCCTCCTTTGCGGCGACCGCACAGTGTCATCGGCGGCAGCCTGGGCTCCTTCATGGCCATGCCTCGAAACGGCAGCCGTCTCGGTGAGTGAGCAGTCATTATTACAATATAACTTACAGGCTGATTACAATAGCCACCATTTACAGACTCACTCAGCATTAAGAATTTATTGTTTAAAAACAAAACAAACAAAAAAAACTTGTATTTCTTTAAGCAGTTAGGAATATTGTACTGTATAGCAATGCTCCTTTGTTATGCTCTTGTGACAAAAACGGATATGTTGTTAGTGATGGTTAAGATTTTAGTTACTTTTTTTATATTATTGTTTAAACAATATATGTAAGTGCAAAAAAAGTAGTTTTTATTTAATTAAATTGCAATGGTTTTAAAAGTTTGTTTTAGAGCTGAACAATATATGCTTTCAGCATCGATAACGCAATGTACACGTTCGCAATAGTCACATCGCAGGATCTGCAATGTTGAATCAGAATTATAGTTAAGTAGGAGTTAAAAACACTCATGATTGTGGAGTAATTGCAAAGTTTACGTATAAAGTTACCATATATATATATATATATATATATATATATATATATATATATATATATAAATAATTTGTATGTGACTCTATATGCATATCAGTTCAGTTTAAAGCAGTCAGTCACAGAAAATTAACATTTTTGTCACTTCAAGAAAGATAAGTTGGATTTATGTACAGTGCAATTAAGATTGCACAGTGTTATTTATTTTACATTTAATTATTCAATTTGTGTACCTGAATACTGTTAGACTCTTTCAAAAAACAAAGCATTTATTTATTTTATAATATTGCAATATGCATCGCAGAAAAATAAAATATTGCAATATCAGTTTTTTTTCAATCTCATGCAGCCCTAGTTTGAATACTATTAATATTAGTATGATATAATGAATTTTATTATTGTTATTTTTAAATGTTTTAATGTTAGTGTAATAAAATAGCAGTTTGTTAATATTGAATATAATTGCAATGGTTTTAAAAGTTTTAATAATATTATTATTAGTGTAATATAATACCTTTTTCAATGTTATTTAAACATATTTACATTTATTTTAAAATAAGTGTAATAAAATGGTAGTTTGTTAATATTAAATTTAATTGCAATGGTTTTAAACATTTAAATTTTTAATATTATTAATTTTTGATATAATATAAAAACTTTAATATGTTTTATTTTTAAATATTTATATGTAATTTTAAAAAATAAAAATAAAAGAATATATTTGCAATGGTTTAACATGTTTGAATAATATTATTATGAGTATAATAATATTTGTTTATTTTTTATTGCTTCTCCCAGGAATAATAATTATAATACTCATAAGTCTATAATAATACCATATTATTTATATTGTAATATTATTAAAAAATATAAAGTTTATGATGTCTATTTATATTTTGATATATATTTTTACTGCATATTTTTAATATTTTTATTAAGAATTTAGTTCATATTTGCATTGTATAGTATTGCATTTGTTTGCAGTATTAATTTTTGCATATAGTGTTATTTGTTGTATTGCTAGTACACTACTAATAGTAATAATAGTAATAACTCTTGTAATATTTACTTGTTCTCTTTTTTTCTTTTTATTTGAATAAACTTTTCATGCTTTACTCTTACTGCATTACTTTAATGATGCATTTGTTTGGTTCCATGTTAAAAGCAAATTCAATATTTCAAACTATGAATATAAATGCTTGACATGTTTGCCTGAATACCATGGGTATTTTTTGTGAAGCATTGTGCAAATGAAGTGAATGAATGACTGAAGCCTTGCTCGATCACAAAATTGACTAAGACCACACCCACTCGCAGTTCAATGGCTGCTTCTGTTTGACTGACAGCGAGTCTTCTCTGTAACAGTGTTTAATAGACAAACACAGCTTATATCAGTGCTGTCAGAAACACAAGTGGCTCTGCTTTATCTGTGACTCTGCATTATCTGAGTGTGTGACAGTCATGTCTGAGCCGTTGTGCTTGTGTATTTGTGTATCTGTGTGTGTGTGTGTGTGTGGGTGTTCAGCACTTACTCGGGCAGGAAGTGAGTCACACGAGGGTTAGTGGGTGGTGTGTGTGTGTGTATGTCGCAGTTGAACAGCTCCGTCCGGCTGCTCTGTGTGTGTTCATGCATGGTGCTTCCCATACGTCAGGTTATTATTTATCAGCACTTCAGACACAAGTCCAGACCAGTCCTGTGTCTGGTGTCTGTCTTCTTATCTGTTAATTAAGACGTCAGAGGGCAACTGCTGGTTTATTTAGCACTTTATTTGGTATATTTATTAATTCTAATTGATATAGATTTATATATAAAAAATATTTATCGTCAACCTTGAATAATGCTTAATTTTCACACAATGCACACATGCACACACACACACACACACACACACACACACACACACACACACACAAACATGCGCATCTGCCAGTAACTGACTGTTGTTGTTGTTGTTGTTGTTGTTGTTTTTTCATGTTTTTGTGGTTGTTTTGTTTTCTTTGTATGTAATTCCATTTTGTGTACTCCTTGCATACTCTAATAAAAAAAAAATAATAAAAATAATACTTAATTTTCAAGATTTTTTAAATGTATTTTTTATTTTTTATTTTTATATAATGGTTTTACTGTATATTAGTATTATTGGTATTTAATTTTTAAAGTAACTACTAAAAATAATATTAATATTAATAACAATATTATCAGTTAAATATTATAATATTAACAATTATATAATTATGATATTCTATGTTTCAATATTTTACATTTTTAAAAAATATTTTAATCTAATGGTAAATAATATTATAGTAGTAGTAGTCGTTGTCATAGTAGTTGTAATCCTAGTAGTAGTAGTAGTAGTTTTAGTAGTCGTCATAGTCTTCGGCGTAGTAGTAGTGTTATTATTAATGTATTAAAATTGTAACTTTTTAGTATAAAATATAGTTACTGTGTGTGTGTGTGTGTGTGTGTGTGTGTGTATATATATATATATATATATATATATATATATATATACACACACACTTGTAATCATAGTAGCTGTAGTCGTAGGAGTAGTTGTAGTAGTAGTAGTAGTCGTAGTTGTAGTAATAGTCGTAGTAGTAATAGTAGTCATCATCGTGGTCTTAGTAGTCATTGTTGTAGTCGTCGGCGTAGTAGTGTTATTATTTATATATGAAATCAAATTTTTTGTATTTAATATTTATCATTTATATATGCACACACACACACAGTTACTACACATAGCAGTAGTAGCCGTCGTTGTAGTCTTAGTAGTTGTTGTTGTCATAGTAGTAGTCGTAGTTCAAGTAATAATCATAGTAGTATTAGTAGTAGTCGTCGTCGCCATAGCAGTAGTAGTCGTAGTTATCGTTGTAGTAGTATTATTAGTAGTAGTAGAAGTGTTATGTAATGTATTCATTTTAACTATTTTTTGTATATAATATTTAAGTTATAAGTTATAATATATATACACAGTTACTACTCAATTACAATAAATTGTTAAATGTTAATTTATTTATAATTTAATATTTTATGTTAACAGTATTTGTTATTTTTTTATTTATTAAACATAAATTGTAGCTTTATATTTTAGGATAAACAATAATCATAGTAATGATAATCATGAGCATTATAATCATCCATAATATTTATAATAATCATATTCATAATAATCATAATATTATATATATATTTATCATAATCAGCATCTCAGACATCCCTCTTCTCACAACTTTCTGATCCGTTAACATCCACATCAGAGATCGACTCTTTGTTTATTAGCCGCAGATTGTGGAATTTGTAAGCTGTGATGTGAAGACTCGATAAACTTGCGTTCGCTGGAATCGGGTGATGTCAGCCAGTCTGCAGTTTATTACAGTTTGACCCACTTTCATTCTTGGAAGATTTCTTTTTTCAGAGAAGTTCTCTGCATCGGTATGTGAACGAGACGGACAACAGAAGACAAAGAGATGACAGAAAACACACGACATGATATGATATGATGTGCTGAGCGGAGGAGGTGGAGAAAGATGAAAGAGAGAGAGAGAGAGAGAATAGAGGAAATGGGCTGATCTGACAGAGAGAGACTCGTTACCTTACACAATGCTGGATTAAAAAACTAGGGCACATTACCTGCGACTGCACACACGCTCACACACACACACATGTACAGAGATTTGAGGTTTTAAGTGTGAAGAAATGCAGAAATCTGGCACAACTGTGATTACTCTACACTGGATTACACTAATACAGAAGATTAAAAAGATATCAAATAATTATATTCTGTGTAAAGCATTATCTTTCAGTTAAGACTATTAAACATATTTAGATGTTTTTATTTATTTATCAATTTTATTTATTTTAGACTTTTTATTTTTTTATTTATTTTTTTTTTCATTACCAGATAAAAGGGCAGTTCATTTTTCGGTTTTATTTTTTGTTTTGTTGTTCTGCTTTTTTGTTTGTTGAGTTTGTTTCTTTTTCTTTGTTTTTCTGTTTTATTTTATTTTATTTTATTTATTTATTTATTTAATGTTTTGGGTTTTTTTGTGGTTTGATTTAGTTGTTTGTTTGAGTTTTTAGTTTTGTTTAGTTGTTTATTTTTCTTTCATTTCTTTTATTTTTTGTCTTTTTGTTTATTTAATTTTATTTGTTTAGTGTTTTATTTTGTGATTTAATTAGTTTTTCTGTGTATTGTTTTGTTTAGTTTTGTTTATCTTTTTTATTTTTTTTATTTAGTGTTTTGTATGATCTGATTTTAGTTTTTAGTTCTGTTTTTTTTCTTTTGTTTATTTTATTCTTATTTCTTTGTTTATTTAATTAATTTATTTATTTAATGTTTTGTGTTGTTTTTTTGTTTAATTTAATTAGTTTTTTTTTATTCATTCATTCATTTTCTTTTCGGCTTTTTATCCTTTAATCCTTTTTATCTGATGTCGCCACAGTGAAATGAACTGCCAAGTTATCCAGCATATGTTTTACACAGCGGATGCCCTTCCAGCTGCAACCCATGACTGGAAAACACTCATACACTCTTGCATTCACACACATTCGGTACAGGCAATTTAGCTTACCCAATTCACCTATACCACATGTCTTTGTACTTGTGGGGGAAACTCCACACAGACTCCAAATGACCCAGCCAAGGCTTGAACCAGCAATCTTCTTGCTGAGAGGCGATTGTGCTACCCACTGCACCACCTTGACACCCTTGTTGAGTTTTTAGTTTTGTTTATTTTTGTTTCGTTTATTCTTTAGATTTTTGTTTATTTATTTTATTTCTTTATTTAATGTTTAGTTTTGGCTATTTTCCTTTGTTTTTCTGTTTTTTGTTTTATTTGATCTACTTATTTAGTTTTGTTTTGTGATTTTATTTTTTGTGTTTTGGCTTGTTTGTTTGTTGAGTTTTTAGGTTTGTTTATCGTTTGTTTATTTTTTTGTCGTTTTGTTTTGTTTATTTTATTTTATTTATTTATTTTAAAAAAATCCAATCATAAAACACTGTTTAATTGTATTTTTTTTTTTTTGTTTTTAGTTTTGTTGTTTTATTTTAATTTTTTCTCTTTGGTTTGTTTTCGTTTTCCCACATTTACCTTGTGCTAATTAAGAACTGGTACCTTCACTTAAAGTCAGAAAATGGCCAAAAATACTTTTAATTAAGCGCCGTTATTAGAGAGACAGACAGACATACAGAGTGGTGTAATGGATGAGCTTCAGGTTAGCAGTTTTACTGCCTCGGCCTGATAAAGAGAGGCCATTATTTCACCCCTGGGGGACTCAGTCTGATGAGGAGGCCATAAAACTACAGAGCCACAACCACACCTTTACACTCTTTCATTCCAGTTCCCAGGAATATAATCTCTTCCGTAACAGCTGTTTTGACCCTTAAAAAAAATCTGTGAAAATGCTGCAGGTCCTGTTTTAGTGTTGCAACGGACCAAACAGAAATCACGGTTGCTCACATTTACACTCTAATTGGCTATTCTGGGTCATTCTCTGATTTGACAACCCCAGATTATATTACTAATGCTATGCTTGGTTTTAATTTTGTGACTCATCTCAAGTTTTAGGAAAAAAAGACGACAGCAAATACATCCTGTATGTTTTAAATGACAGTTTCTCCAGTTTTCACAGACTAGGCTTAAGGGTAGTCCTCAACTAAATTGAATATTTAAGCTGTCTTACATAAAAATAACTAAGTAGCACATATTTTTATTAAAGTTCTAGTTCTTTAGGAAAGCCCTGTTTTCTTTATGGATTAATTTAGTCTGTATAAACAGAAATACCTAAATATTTTAAGCTTTTTTCGCGCATCTTTCCTTCATAGCAAACTAACAGTGCAAGAGCCGTGGCTAAGAATATTGTGGCTGAACTCATTAAACTGACGTCAACAGAACAGTCCACACTCCAAATGTAGATGCACATGGTCAGGCTTTAATTGAAGACTACCAAAACAAACATTTATTGTCAGTGGATTAACTTGCGCAGATGAATTGTTCACCTAAACCATATTAACGTGCACTATTAAAAATAAACAGCAAATTTTGATTCCACAACATGGACTTTAATAACTATACATGTTGTATTTACAACTTTTTGCTACTATTAAATAGCAGCTTTTGCCTTCTGACACACATTTTCAGTCATGTAAAGTGGATGAAACCTCTTTTCTAGAAACATTATGGACAATAATTAATTTTTGTTTGTGTTTTAAAAGGCAGTGTTGAAATGAAAACAAACACTGCTTTAGTCCGTGCCCCAAAGGAGACACATGGACCTAAACACGTGTCGATCTTAATCCCTCGCTGCTGGTTTTCAATTTGTGAATGTGCGCGCGTGTGTGGTTTATAAAGCCCGATTACATCATGTTTTGGCCCATCATCCGGTTCAGATAAGCTGGATCATACTTTTATGTAATAGAGAAGAGTTGAGGACATAGTTCATTCAGACCAGCACTTGCTGTATAAACACAGAGCACATGGAGCGGCACGAATCCCATCAGTTTTCTGCTTTTCCGTGTGTTTTTCTTGGGAATCGTGTCGTAGGTCAGTGTGAATGAAGCATGTGTGTGTCTGTCATGTTTGACTGGTTTTCATAAATATGAACAACTGCAGGAGAATTATTAACAGACTGTAGACTGATGTGTGTGTGTATAGTGCTATATGTACACAGGTTCATGTGTGTGTGTGTGTGTGTGTGTGTGTGTGTGTGTTTAAATGGAAAGGGGGTAAATAAGGGCTTTCAGTGAAATTGAAGTATCACATGCTGCTTTTTCAATAAACATACACACACAACACACACACTAGCATGTATCCCGAATCACTATCTATCCTACATGATATATGAGATTAGTGTGTCCTGAATCACAGTATGTTAAAAATAGCACGGCAGATGTACTTTTTAAGCTGATATTAAATACAAGATGTTGTTAATAGTCGTGTGTGATGTGCTTCAGCACTGTTCAGCTTTCTCAAGTTAAAAATAGCGTTTATTGGGTTTTTAAATGTGATTTATGTGATATTAAATGTATTTGTGTTGGCTGTTTTCTGTAATATGTGTAATGTGAACGCTGATGTGTGATGAAGCCAAAGATACATTTCCACTCGTGGACAATTAGAAAAGCAATAAATTAATTTAAAGTTCACTTGTAAACATCCGTTTGATTACTTTTTTGTAGCTCATTTGAATAACAAGTTATACAAATGTTCTTATGTATTGATATTTTAAATGTGATTATTGTTGATTTTGTCTTGTGTGAGATTATTTTAGATCAGGGGTCAACAACCCTGTTCCTGGAGATCTACCTTCCTGCAGAATCCAGTCCCAATCCTGATCAAACACACCTGAACCAATTAATAGTACCTAAAGCAGCACCTGATAATTACAAACAGGTGTGTTTGGTCAAGGTTGCAACTGAAATGTGCAGGAAGGTGGCTCTCCAGGAACTGGGTTGGTGACCCCTGTTTTAGAAATTAAACATTGTTTTTTTTAAGTCTTGAATTAAACCTTTTCAAAATATAAAATGTTTATAAAATTTTATTTATAATAATTAATCTTAATAATAAATTGATGAATTATTCATTCATTAATTTTCCTTCGACTTAGTCCTTTTATTTATCAGGGGTCTCCACAGGGGGATGAACTGCCAACTTATCCAGCTTTCATATGTTTTTACACAGTGGATGCCCTTCCAGCTGCAACCCATACACACATATACACTATGGCCACTAAGCCACTGCGTCACCTGATATATTTTTATTATTATTATTATATTTGATAAAAATATTCATTTGTACTTATTATTTGTTATTATTATTTTATTTATTTATTATAATTAATACCTTGAAATGTACCATCTCAATTTCCAGAGGATCCCACAATTAATCACAATCACATAAAAATAACACGAGAAGACAAAAACAAAGCATAAATGACAAAACATCCTTAAAACAACAATAAAACTTAACATTGACAAAAGGGAAGTTGTATAAGTACATACATATTCATAGTACAAAAAACTTTAAAGTTTTATATTTACAGTTTAATATGTATAATATTATTTAAAGTTTAAAAATTTTAAGTTTATTATATTTATTTAATCTTTTTTAAAGTTTTAAAATCAAAAGTTTATTATATTTATTTAATATTATTTAAAGTTTTAAAATCTAAAGTTTATTTTATTTATTTAATATTATTTAAAGTTTTATATTTAAAGGTTAATATATTTATTTAATATTATTTAAAGTTTAAAAATTTAAAGTTTATTTTATTTATTTAATATTCATTAAATTTTTAATATTTAAAGGTTAATATATTTATTTAATATTATTTAAAGTTTAAAAATGTAAAGTTTATTTTATTTATTTAATATTATTTAAAGTTTTAATATTTAAAGTTTATTTTATTTATTTAATATTATTTAAAGTTTTAATATTTAAAGTTTATTTTATTTATTTAGTATTATTCAAAGTTTTATATTAAAAGGTTAATACATTTATTTAATATTATTTAAAAGGTTAAATATTTAAAGTTTAAAACATTTATTTAACATTATTGAAGATTAAAACATGGTCTTAAAGTTTTTGACTTTTTTAAAGAAACAATCAGTAGAGATTTTTGGTAGAAGTCATGATTTTTAATTCTGATTATTCTGATTATTATATTTATTTTTAAATGAAACATTATTTAAATTAAACGACTTATTTATAGAATTTTTTGTTTTTTTAAAGACTATTAGTTATTTTAGTTCATTTAGTAATGACAACTTTAAGACACATTTATAATGGGAAAGTGCCTTAAATACATAAAAATGCTTTAGTTTGTATTGTATGTCACTGTAAATGCCATTAAGCAGCAGCTTTTCTCCCCACATGTTATTCATATTCACCGTCTAACCATTGCTCCTTTTCTCTCCCAGACATTGTTCATGAGAATCTGAAGATGGGTTCGGATGGAGAGAGTGATCAGGCCTCAGGAACGTCTTCAGATGAAGTGCAGTCTCCCACCGGAGTGTGTCTGCGCACCCGAAGCCACCGCCGCATTTCCATGGAGGTAAGACAGAAACGAACCAACAGCTCTAAACCCGCTTCAGACGCAGCCATGTGTCACTTACCGTGAACTTTATTTGTGGCCTTGGGTAGGTGGAGGGATTCCTTCATTTCTCTTTTACAATTACTCATTCTCTCCTACGTCCTATTAGTCAGCTTCTTTCTTCCTCTTAAGTGGCTGCCCATAATGGAAAGAGAAATCTGGAGGTTTTGTGAGCAGGTGCTGATGGTGTAAGAGGAACTTGTGTGTTTTCGAGAGCTTGTGTGTGTGTGTGTTAAGACACTGCAGGTGAATAGGTATTAAGGTAAAACGAATATTATCTGATAGCTATCACCATGTTTTAACTTTAACTGTTAAAAGCCAATAGAAACTGGTTAAAGTAATTAGCTACTAATACATTTCTGGTAATAGATAACGTAAATTTTCATACGTAAAAGACTTTTAGGGACTGGGGACACTAAATGATGTTACACTAAGTGTTTTAGGTATCATTTGGTCCCATTCTTTCTGCAAACAAGTCTTAAGGTAGGCAAGGTCTTTTGCGCTTCAAAATTTGCCACACATTCTCTATTAGGGACAGGTTAGGACTGCAGGGAGGCCAGTTAAATACCTGTATCCTCTTCTTTCACAGCCAGATCTTTGTAATGTGTGCAGAATGTGGTTTTGCATCATCATATTTTAACTTTAATAATGTTTAACTTTAATTAATCTTCTAATGACGAAGAGCTTTTAATGGTTAAAGTAATTAGCAACTAATAAAGTTCTGGTAATTAATAACATAAATTTTCTAATAACGTACATTTTCTAAACACTTAAAAGATTTTTAGGGACTGAAAACACAGAGTGATAAAGTGTTTCAGGTGTCATTTAGTCACAGTCTTCCTGCAAAAAAATCTTAAAGTGGGCAAGAGTACAAGGGATTTTGCACATCAAAATGTGCCACACATTCTCTATTGTAGACAGGTTGGGACTACAGGCAGGCCAGTCAAGTACCTGAATTTTCTTCTTTCACAGCCAGAACTTTGTAAATGCAGAATGCGGTTTTGCATGACCATATTTTAACTTTAACCATTAAAATCTCTTGGTTTAGTTAAAGTAATTAGTAACTAATAAAGGAGTCCCACTTTATATTAAGTGGCCTTAACTAATATGTACTTACACATGAATTAATAGTTTTAGTTACAATGTACTTATTGTGTAAATACATGTATTTATTGTGTACTCATGCTCGATTAAATACCTGTATGTAATTACATCTGTAATTAACTTTTGTAATTACATTTGTAAATACACTGCTGACCATTCCCTACACCTTAAACCTACCCACACCACCGAACCTGTCCCTAACCCAACCCCTATCCCAACTCAAGAGCACCACAAGTGCTCTCAAATACTTTATGAACACAGTAAGTACATTGTATTTATTTTTTGATGTAAGTACATACAGTAGTAGTTAAGGACACTTAATATATAGTGGGACCAATAAAGGTCTATTAATTAATAACATACATTTTCTATTAACGTACATTTTCACAACACTTAAAAGAGGTTTAGGGACTGAAGACACAGAGTGATGAAGTGTTTCAGGTGTAACTTTGTCCCATTCTTCCTGCAAACAAGTCTTAATGTGGGCAACAGTACAAACTCTTATGCGCTTCAAAATGTGTCACACATTCTCTATTGGAGACAGGTTGGGAATTAAATATTTGCCTTGTTGATGGACTATACTAAGAATGCAAATGATGCATTATATAATTACATATGCATTTATTTGCATAACATTCTAGCACAAAAGTCTGGATGAAGCCAAGTTTTTGTTACATTTTCTATTTGTCATGTTAGATTCAACCATGATAGATTCAACCTTTGCAAAAACATGGCTTTATCCAGGTTTAAAAAGGGGAATTGAATTGCTTTAATTTTTTTTTTACTTTTTAATTAAAATTGTATTCTTTGGAGGTGTAAAATCCTGTAAAAAATATTGATTGTTTTTGTATTTTTAAATGAAGCATATTTATTCATTCATATTATTTATGAACTTCAGAATATAGATATAATCGGGTGTATGCGAGTGCTGCTAAAGTGGGGATTTATAATTCAATGTAGGATGTTTTTATTTAATCTGACCAAAGAAAACAAAGAAAACATTTTAGGGATGACCAAAAAGCACAAAAAGTGACAAGTGCTTAAAATAAACTGCCTTTTCTGTACTCTCACCTTTAAAAGTCATTTATTAACCTCATTTGTAAAGCTTAAACTAGGTATTACACAAGACAGCTAGTTTCTATCCTAACCAGTTGCAGCTGCAACAAGTAACAGGATGTTTTGGTTTATGCACTGCATAGCTCCGCCCACTGTGGAACATGATTGGTCTAAAATTACACTCCTTGGTTATTATGTATTAAACATCAAAGCTGTTCTGGTTACCTGAGAATGTAATTGGGCAGAAATATCAATATCACTATTTATTTTTCAAATCATAAATAAATAAAAAATATCAAAACAGTTATCAGATCATATACACCTGTGTCCCTCTGGCACCGTTTAATATTAAAGGTAGGCACACAATAATTTGAAAGAAAATATAGCATGTCTCTCTTTTTTTCTCCTTCACTCCTTTTTTCTCGTTTTATAATTAAGCTGTTTGTTTTCTTCATTGCAGTGTTATAGAGAAGGGTGTAAATGCCATTGTTTTTGAGGATTTAAAACGAAGAAAAAAAACTCTTGGAAAAATCAGAATTAAGCTGACTACATCAAGACATGCACGTCACTCTCTGGCTACATGAAGCATTTAAAGCTGCTTATTCTGGGCTTTTAATTGCAAACCTCAGTTCAAACTAGTTATTTGGCCATGTGTTCCTCAATCTCGCTGCCGGTCGTCTGTCTTCTTTTGCCCCCTGCTGTATACCCCGAGTTACTGCAGCAACATACAAATAAAAACAAATAGAAACATCATTTGAAAAAGGAATGAAATGGATGAGTAGTCATATATTAACAGGATTAATAACGAACCTTATAGCGCTGAACCAGAATCGAAACATTAGTAAATGAAGTTTTTGTAAATCAAAGGCATCATAACTAATTCTCTAGTAAAATAAAACACTTTAAATGGATGTTATATTTATTATCATAAATAGTATATGTATGCTAAAAGATAAGTTATATTACTTCTTAATAAATTATAATTCTTAAACTATATATTATATTACAAATGACATGTTTTTGTTAATAAAAGGCAGCAGAACAAATCCTCTTGTCAAATGAAATGCGTTAAATGGATATATTTTTATTTTCATAAATAATATATGTATGCCAAAATATATTATCTATTGTCTGTATGTGTTTTATATACATATATATGATTAACAAGGACATATTTAAATTGTGTTTTTTCATACACATTTGTATAATCAATTGTATGTTCTTTTGGTTTTCTTTTAAATACGTCTACACTGAAAAAAACTCTTAAGATTTAATGTTTTAAAATCCTCTTAATAATTTGCCTTAATACATTTCAAGTAAATTTTACCATCTTAAATCAGTTACTAATTTTGAAATTGAAAGTTGAAATTAATTTTTATTAATTTCAATAAATATTGTTAGTTCCAATTTTGCTACATCTGGCATAACTGTTTAATTAGGACCCACATTTTTCTACTGGGCGGGTATAAGATTTTTATGGTATGATAACCTTGGATAAAAATATCCCGGTTCGACAGTATTGTAATTATCGGTGACTTCTGCTGTCTTCCTTAGTTTCAAAAACACAGATATCTTTACAATTTAAAATGACATCTTCGGAAATCTTTTCTGCTGGTGATACTGTTGTCTTATGAAACTAAAAAGAAAAACGTAAATAATAAATCTTACACATACCTTAGGAACAGTACAGCAGAAAGTTTTGGCAGTTTTAAAACCTTGACTTTTCCAAACCGCGGTATACCTTGAAAACAGGTATTGTCCCATGCCTAGCACTGACTTGAAATATGTTATTCCATTTTATTTTAAGCAAATTGAACCCAAGAGCAAATTTACTTTAAAAGTGATCTCAGAGCTAGTGTTAGCATAGCTATGACTTTATGAGTGAATTGTCAAACATTAATACTGATAATAAATATGCCAAGACGCTATAAGCATGAGGGCTACTCTTCGTCAAGATTTTTACCTCAAAACTAAAGACACTTACTCAAAACCCTTCTTAATCTTCAAACCAATGATGATTAAACTCGAGCAAGTCTTCTTCTCTAATTTATACACCTAAGATTGCTTTTATTTTCAAAATATTCTTCTCCACACATCCTTTACAACATATTCATTATTAAAATGTTCATAATATTAGTGGGTTTGCAATAATAAGAAAATATTTAAATGTTGCAACTATATGAATATTAATGAGGCACGGTGGCTCAATGGTTAGCACTGTCGCCTCAAAGCAAGTAGGCCACTGGTTCGAGTCCCGGCTGAGCCAGGTAGCATTTCTGTGTGGAGTTTGCGTGCGCGTGCGCGTGCGTGTGTGCGTGCGTGTGTGTGTGTGTGTGTGTGTTATGTGAATGAGTGTGTATGGGAGTTACCCTGTACTGGGTTGTGGCTAAATGGCTGAAAGGGCATCCACTATGTAAAACATATGCTAGAATAGTTGGTGGTTCATGCTGCTGTGGCAACCTCTGAAATAAAGACTAAGCCGAAGGAAAATTAATGAATGAATGAATGAATGAATGAATGAATGAATGAATGAATGAATGAATGAATGAATGACTGAATAAATATTAATATTCAACTCTTTCCATTCCTTTTCTTATTATATCAATTGAATGTGTAAATATTGAATATTTACTTGGAAAATTCTAGTTATCCTGGAAAATATTACAATTAAAAAAATTATGAAAGTAAATTTAATAAATTTTACTACACCAAAAGGTAATTTCCTTCAGTGTACAGTAGATGTTTTGCTTACAATTTTCTTTTTTTCTCAAATTCATTAGTGATTTTCACATTATTTCGTTTCAGGAATGCATAAACTTTCTCTGCTTAACATTAGTAATGTTTGTTTTTACTAATGCTGATGTTATAAAATGTCAAAAAGAAAGGAAGAGTTTTTAATTTATGTTTTATATGTTTTTGTGGCCCAATGTGATCATATATAGTCTTGCAGATTCTTTAAATGTAGCCTGTAGGTAGAGAGAGAGAGAGAGAGAGAGAGAGAGAGAGAGAGAGAGAGAGAGAGAGAGAGAGAGAGAGAGAGAGAATGTAAATGGAGGGAATTCAAAGCGTGATGGAGGGCTATTTATGGAAGATGCTAATGCTTTGCTTTGAGAATGGCTTTATGAAGTCACACTATCTTATTTAAAACACACACACACACACACAATGCTTTAAGATGACACACATGTATACCATATGAAAATAAGTCACCGAACATCAATTATTAATCTGATTTCTGCTTTGATAAGAAGCGTGCTAATGTTGTCCCATGTGATTGACCTAATTGCATATGCGCCTTTTGTGTTTTGATTCTCAGGATCTGAACAAACGCTTGTCTTTGCCTGCTGATATCCGGATTCCTGACGGCTACCTGGAAAAGCTACAGCTGAGCAGTCCACCGTTTGATCAACCCCTCAGCCGACGCTCACGCAGAGCCTCACTGGTCAGTTTCAACACTTCAGACTCTTTATTTATTTATTTATTTATTTATTTATTTATATATTTTTTTATTTATAATGTTTTAAAGGACAGATTTTCCTGTTAATTTACTCACCATTCAATATGAACACTGTCAGACCATTAGCTGAACACTAAAGATTATTTTTACCCTAAATGGAGAGATAAAACGTATGAAACTTACCCCATAGTTTGCTCTCCCTCAAGCCGTAGGTATTACATGTGATATAGGTGAATTAGGTAGGCTAAATTGACCATAGTGTATGTGTGTGAATGAGTGTGTGTGTGGATGTTTCCCAGTGATGGGTTGCAGCTGGAAGGACATCCACAGCGTAAAACATATGCTGGATAAGTTGGCGGTTCGTTCCACTGTGGTAACCCCTGATTAATAAAGAGACTAAGCCAAAAAGAAAATGAATGAACAAATCTATATATTTTGTAAGTATAAACTCGAATTTTCTGTGAATGACACAAGACGCAGCTTTTTTTTTTCTTTTTTTAACAAATGTTTTTATTAGTTTTACATTTTCAATAATTAGCAAACAACACAACAATAATATAAATACAAGGAATAAGCATGAAAATACAAAGAGAAGTAATGGTAATGATAATTAAAATAAAGAAAAATGGATAAAGGAAAATAAAAAAAATAACAAACTTAAGTTATTATTAAAAAAACAATTAGGGCATATAAACGGTTTCTATGAAAATACAAAAAGACAGTCAATAGGGGTAGTGAGCATATTAAGCATTACACTGCTGTTCAGAATCCGCATTATATTGGTCCAGGTGATCAAGAAATGGTTGCCATATATTATAAAACTTAGCAAGATTATCAATAATTCCATATCGGACTCTTTCCATGTGCAATATTTGAGTGAGATAAGTTAACCATGTCTTAAATTGAGGAACAGAATCTGATTTCCACAGTTTTAGGATGACACTCTTAGCAATAATCATTCCATAAATGATGGTGCTTATATACACATTGTGATCCAGCAAAGATCTAGAGTATCCAAATATAGCAATTTCTGGCTCGGGTGTCAAGGTAAAACCATACCAGAAAACCATTTAATTATGTCACACCCGAAATTATAACGTTTTGGGCACGTCCAAAAGAGGTGGGTCAGGGAGCCTTCAGCAGACTTACACCGGTCACTAGACGCAGCTTTTTAAGAGCCAAATAGTTTCTTGTTTGTCAAATATGGTGGTAAATGGAGTCAGAGGTCAGCCAAGATGGTGTCTAGAATGTGCGTTCAGCAGCTGCCGAGGTTGTTGATTTGAGTCTCTAATTAAAAAATGTGAAATATTTGTGTTGCCATAAACACATTGATCCTCTTCATAAGACATGCACGTTACCTTCTGGCGTTGTGTGGGTTAATTGTACAACAGATTTATGCAGTTTTGGAAGGTTAAAATTAAAAGAAAATTTTAAACTTCTCCGACTGTGTTCCTCTGAAAATAGAAAGTCATATTCACTGAGAGTGGCCTGAGGGGGAGTAATTTATTGGGTAATTAAAATTTTTGGGTGAATATTCCTTTAAACTGTGACCTTTAGTTATTCAAAAAATGTAAGTCAAAGGCTTTTAGTGCTTTAAATGTCAAAAAACTGTATTAATAGAAAAAAACTGAATTAACACACATGTCTCTTGACAATAAATTAAGATAATTTATGAAGCAATTCAGTGGTGTTCACTCTGCCATGTAGCTTTTTAAGAAGCCAATGTTTTACTGTAGAAAAAAGCTCCAGCAAACCATGACACTTCACATCCACCTTTACTGATTTGGCACCACTTTTAGGCCCAATCCCAATATTATTTTGTACCCCTACCCTTTTGCCCTGGGTCTTGAAACAGGGGGCCCTATCATACACCCGGCGCAAGGCGCGATGCAGTTCAGCTTGGCGCATAAGTCATTTTGACATTTTGCAGCACGCTGTTTAAATAGCAAATGCATTTGCGCTCATATGTGCGCCCATAGGCCTTCTGGTCTAAAAAAGGAGGTGTGTTAAGGCGCATTGCTGACGCGTTGCTATTTTGAGGAACTAAAATAGTCCGCTTAATGGACCAGCTAAGAGGAGGTCTAAAGTCCAGCACAGAGCGCATTAGTTTGTGCGCCTCGCTTAAACATTGCTTAATACACACAGGATGGACAGCAATACACAAATATCTTTACAAATGAAAAAGAATTAAAGGATTAAAATTTTACAAAAAATATTATTTTCTAGCCTACATAAATATAAAAAACAAACTTACATGCCGCATTCATCTCGGGGGGCTTTTTCAGTTTATTCATGACTATTTGCTTTTGTATAATGTTCTTATTATTAGCAGTATTATTTATTATCTGCATATTTATATTTGTTTTATTATAAACAAGCTTAGATTTGCCCACCTGTCAGGTTTTAGACTATATGGGGCACAGCATGTGTATTAGGATATAACTCAGTTTTTAACACACTTTGTTATTATTGTTCGTTTATTTGTTTGCTGCAAATTAGAACTGAATTTGGGAATAGTTTTGAAACAAATCTTTGCGCTTAACAAACAAAATGAATTATTTATAGGCTAGTAGATGTCTGTGCGTACAACACGTTTCTCTATCCGTGAGAGTGAAAGTGGAAGAATGAGGAGGCTCATCGCTCATTCTCACGCTGTAGATGCTCTGTTTAACTGTTTTATTGCTAGTGAAGCGTTTAGTTTTTCCACTTACAAAGTCCGCCATGTAAATAGCATATGCCTTGGAGCGACGCAAATAACTCTTAAAGGGAATGGGAGATGAGACTCTGATTGGTTTATTCTCAAAACACACCTATAACTCATTACGATAATAAGCTCAACCCTGTTAGACCATGCACCATGGCACAAAGTGGATTTTTCCATTGTTACTATAGTAAAAGTGGATTCTGACACGCCCCTTAATGCTTGGACTTTGCGCCTGGATCATCAAAATAGAGCCTAAAGCACAGGTGTCAAACTCAGTTCCAAAAGGGCCGCAGCTCTGCACAGTTTAGTTCCAACCCTAATTAAACCCACCTGATCAAACTAATTGAGTCCTTCAGGCTTGTTTGAAACCTTCAGGTAAGTGTGTTGGAGCAGGGTTGGAACTAAACTGTGCAGGGCTTTGGCCCTCCAGGAATTGAGTTTGACACCCCTGGCCTAAAGTTTGTAGGGTAAGGGCTTCAAATTTACTCCTAAGATATGGGAAAGCACTACAACACCCGTACACGTCTTCATATAATAATAATAATTTATTTTTAAGTAGCGCCTTTAAAACTTAATTCTGAAAGCGCTTTACACAAAAAAGGCACAGATATAAAACATTTTAGAGTAACAGTGAAATTGAATCATTCAAAACAAAACATTCAAATATCTGGAAACATAAAACAAACCAAAAATGCTCACCTCACGAGTAGGCAAGTGTAAAAGTAGTGTGTTTTCAATGTGTTATTTTGTCGCAAGCTCTTACCTCATATGAGATCGACGACGGCACCTGCTGTTATTCCAGTTGCATTATTTTTTGGTTTTTACCTTCAGGAAATCACAGAAGCCAACGATAACTGTCATAACAATATAATGTGGCAATAAGCTCCTAACTGTACTGTGCATTTACACTGTAGCCATGTTCATCTGTGCACAAGAATGGTAGGGGTACGAGGAAGGGGTAAAATTGGGACTGGGCCTTAATTTATTGTTTCCCAGTATGATGTCCAACATTGTTTCCCATCAGGCCATGTCCACATGTACACAGGGGTTTTAAAAAAATGGAGTATTGCCTGATTTTGTTTTCAAAAAAATCTCTGTCCACATGAAAATACTGAAAGGTACTGTGATGCATGTTATGGGAATGCCGAACAAACAAACGGAGAGTTTTATGCTAGGTTCACACCAAACAGAGAGTTCAACATTTTCATGAATAAATTGAATACAAATCCATGCAAACGTGACAACAGAGGTGGATTACCGTCTCGCGGATATGCAGAATTTTCCTCCATCTCGTCTTGTGCATTTGGTGTGAACCCAGCTGTGTTGGCCAATCAGAAAGGAGAAAACATCACACATGCTGACATCATGAGGAGTTTCAGAAAATCTTCACCCTGGCCGAAGTTTTTAAAAAGTTTCAGTTTCAGTCACACGACACTTCATTTACGCGTGGACAAACTGCGAAACCTCATAGAATGTACCCGTGTTGGTGTGGACGGGGCCTCTGACTTGCAAAATAAACTTCCTTTCATCACTAAATTGTAGGATTTTCTCTAATTTTGACCTCCACTGTATTTAAGAACATTAAAGCATGGTGTTTATCCTCCAGCGTGTTTTTGCGCTCACTCCTCAATGAATTAGCATTTTACCTCTGAAGCAAATGAATCACTGTCTTGTGTTTCGTAATATGCCGTGTATCTCTTTTGTTTGAGTATATTGTAGGGCATGATGGGACATCTACGTAGCAACCGGGCTGCATAGCAACACGACATGAAGTTTCTCCTTTGCCATGAATGGCTGTGAGATCATGGTGTTCAAGAGGAATAAATCAGACTTTGTGTTTAAAGCAATACGCATGAGGATGATTCAGTCTGTTTAAGCTATGACGTGGCTGTCAAACACCGAGTTGTTGTTGTGGTGAGAGTTTTAAATAGGTGTATATCACCTTCCTGAAGTCTGAGGTTGAGAAATAAACGCTTTTATTGCGCAATGACACATTAAATTGATCATAATATGCAGAAAATGCTTATATTTTTAGAAATACATGCTGTTCTTATGACAGATGTCTGGAATAATGTATCACTGATTTCATGAAAAGTTGTTGAGCCATGTTATTATGGATTTTAATGATGAGAAATGTTTTCTGAGCACTGAATTAGCCCTGCTGAGACTATTTTTAAAAAGTCCTAAAAATATAAATAGTGTTTTTTTTTTTTTTGTGATAAATATGTTTTGCTTTAGATTCCAGATGGATTTATTAGGAAATAATGAATGATAATGAAAATGATAATTCTGTCAGCAGTTACTCGTCTCTTGCCAAACCAGTTTGACTTAATTTCTTCTGGTGAAGACAAAGGGAAAACCTATTGCACTGCGTCAAAGACGCTTTATTTTTGGAGTGATGAAGAAACCTAAGTCACAAAGCTCCAGAAAGGACAAAATGCATGCTTGTTTTGTGTTTCTAATATGTGAATCAAACACTTACATTTTACCAAATAGTGAAAAGAAAGCAATAATGTTTTGGACCAGGAAAGCATCTTATGGTAGGAAGTGTTTGAAATCATTTTAAAGCATTCTTCTCTCCAAAGCAAATTGTTCTCTTCCAGAGCACCAATAGTTGATCTAAAAATAATAATAATAATAGAAATAATCTAAAACCTTTTTTTCGGTTAAACCCTGGGTAAAAAAATATTGGTGTTATTCTGGATGATGGCTTGAGCTTTGACAAACAGATAAATGCAATGGTCAAATCGTGCTTCTTTCAGCTTCGGGTTTTTAAAACAGTCAAATCTATTTTATCTAGAAAAAGTTTTGAAAAAAATTATTTATTCATCAGCACTAGATTGGATTATTGTAACTCATAAATTAGTCAGAAACCCTGTTTACAATTAGTTCAAAATGCTGCTGCAAGGCTTTTGACAGGTACCAGGAAACATGACCACATTACACCAGTTTACGTTATTTGCTCTGGCTGCCTGTGACTATCGAGTCGCTTTTAAAATGCTTCTCTTGGTTTTTAAATCTCTAAATGGCCTGGCACCTTCTTATCTGTCAGACATGTTGATTGAGCATCAGCCTGGTTGGTGTCTTCGGTCATCTAACCAGAGACTGTTATGCATCCCTAAGTCGAGGCTGATATGCAGAGGTGACCGTGCCTTCGCAGTAGCTGGTCCTCGGTTGTGGAATGCTCTGCCCCTCTGTATTAGATCTGTTTCATCCCTGTTTGTTTTTAAATCTAGGTTGAAAACTTACCTCTTTGATTTAGCATTTTATCAGTGAAAATTGTCTGTTAACTATAATTTTATATATATTTGTTTTTTCTCTGCTTTGATTTGTTCTGTGCAGCACATTGGACAACCTCTGGTTGTGTTAAATTGTGCTATATAAATAAAATTGACATTGACACTGCAATATATATTTCGATATGAATATAATTTCTCCAGATGAATTGAATAGCTCTATTTGGAAATAATTTCATTCATTTAGATCGGCTGGGATGGACAAGTCTGTTTCTATGCAGTAGATCTGCATAAATTTTAATAAATTACAAGCAAAAATAAATAAACAAACAGTGCGTTATGGTTTTCCAAGGAGTCTAACAGTATTTAAGTACAGAAAATGAACAATCAAATGTAAAATAGCACAGACATCATTGTTTAAATAATTAAAAATAATAATATTTATCTATAGGTGAATTGGGTGAGCTAAATTGTGTGTAGTATATGAGTGTGAATGGATGTTTCCTAGTACTACGTTGCGGCTGGAAGGGCATCCGCTGTGTAAAGCATATGCTGGATAAGTTGGCGGTACATTCCGCTGTGGCGACCCCAGATTAATAAAGGGACTAAGCCGAAAATAAAATGAATGAATGATATTTATATTTTAAGCTAAATAATTTAATCTTGCAATGTGACTATTGCAGATTCGCACATTTCGATATCAATACTCAAACAATATATATTGTTCAGCCCTAATAAAGAGTATATTTTAAAACCAACATTTTATAATTGAATGATGTGTGAGTGTAATACATCGATTTAACTAATATATATATAAATTTGATGCATTCCACTGGATTGAAATTAATTAATCGTCTTTTTTGACTGGTACAAAAGAAGTACGGCTGGAAAATTGTCTAAAGTTACTGTAGTTTGTTTGGGCAATAGTTAGTGTTAGGCCATGCTTTATTGTACAGAGTCAATCTTTTAAAGACCTTCAGTGCCTTGTAGGTTTGCAACAACAGGGTTAAACATATTAAAGTGAGCGCATCTTTTACCAGTCAGTGTTTACATCCGACTGCAGCAGATATAGAGTACTGGTCCATGAACGACAATCCCAGGGTGCACTACAAGCATTGTGTCGTTTCCTAACAAAGACGCTTCACATGTTCTTTGTCTGAGAGGCTTTAGCATGTGAAAAGCCTCCTGCTTCAGCGTCAGGGTTTTCTTGGCATCCATTGTTTTCCCTAGCTGTCATCCGTCTATGTCGTCTTATGTAATGCAAATGAGACGTTCTGCTGCCCCCTGCTGAACAGTGTGTGTGTCATTTCTCTGGCTTCTGGAGCTGATCTGATTCTGGCTGCAGATATGAGCTGCGAGCAGCACTCCAGACACGTGTTTCTGTCTGATAAGGTCTGTTGAACACATGCACATTACCCTGATCTCATTAATGAACTCTCTCTCTCTCTCTCTGTCTTGTTTTATAGTCTGAAATCGGCTTTGGGAAACTGGAGACTTATATCAAACTGGACAAGTTGGGAGAGGTAAACCGAGTGCATTTCTGTCATCATCATCATCACGCTGTCAAAAAAAAATCTAATGCTTCCTCTGATTGTCTTTTAGGGCACGTATGCCACCGTTTTCAAGGGGCGAAGCAAACTGACGGACAACCTGGTGGCTCTGAAGGAGATCCGGCTGGAGCACGAGGAGGGAGCGCCGTGCACCGCTATCAGAGAAGGTCTGCAGCCTCTCTCGCTTTCAGACAGCAGCGTTAATAACCACAGTTAAAAACCATCCTGACTTCTGTCTCTCTTCCAGTGTCATTACTGAAGGACTTAAAGCACGCCAACATCGTCACGCTTCATGACATCGTCCACACAGACAAATCACTCACGCTGGTGTTCGAGTACCTGGTCAGTGAACGCTTCCCCTCATGCCTTTATTCTTCGAATGACGTTCAAAAAATGGCTTGTGTTTTACATTTCACGTAATTTGTTTGTTAATTTACTCATCTGCTTATATTAGATCACTCGTATGTGCTGAGGTCTATAAAATAAAAATACTAAATATATCAGGATTATTGTCCTTAGTTTGCATGGCAGAAGCGCGCTCGTTTTTGCAATTGGGATAAATGCCTAGGAATAATAATAATGTGTTCATGCCTATACATGAAAAATAGAAAAATTTATTATTAGAAAAGATCCATTTGCAACATCAAGCAGCATAACAAGCTGTTTTTAACATCTAAAAACCAATGGAAGTGAATGAGAATGGAAGTCTCAGGCCAAAAATTGTGCAATGATTGCAGCCACTCGTACAGTATGTGAAGAATAAGATCAGTAATAACCAAAATGATCACGTTATCATATCATAAATTATCTGAAACACTTCCCTTAAAACAAGCTTTTTGTATCTGAAAAAGAACAAACATATAAGCTTGGCAACATAAACGTGGATCCCTGCATTTTGATTTTGCTCAATTATGTTTGTTTGATTTCATGCACTTTGCTTTTGTGTGTTTTTACATGTACATGTGATTTTTCTTACCCAAGGTATTATTTGTTTAACCTGTACTTGTTAAACTACCTCACAGAGATCCATGTTTGCATAGGTTTTCCACAAAATTGCATAAAGCTGCTTTATAAAAGGCAAACGGGCTTGTGTGATTTGACCAAAAATTCCTAATTGCATTTTTTCTGAATAATATTACGATTTGATATTGTGGATCCAAAGCTTTAGCTCAGTATTCACAGTAATGTGCAGGACGCACTTTAAATGAAAGTAATGCAATATACTTTAACTGTATATTAATACATGTTTGTTAACTCTCAATATTAACATCCATTTACTAGCCCTGTCACTATTTTTGGTGTCTTTTTTTTTTGCTGTACAATCTTGCTCCAAAATATATTGCGATAAACGATATTATTGTCAATTTAAGACCATTTTATAACGCCAGAATGACAATATAATATCATCACAATGCAAGGACAATCTTCCATAAGGGTTTATGTGGGGTCTTAAAAAGTCTTAAATCTCAAAATCCTTATTTTAGGCCTTAAAAAGTGTTAAATCTACTGTTGTAGGTAGGGTTGGGCAATGTCGACCAATTTGGCATTGTACGATGTCTAATGTGAAACATCGCAATGGACGATGGCATCGTTAACATGTGAAAAGCGCAAGAGGGGTGTTTGACAGAATGCGGGAGATTATCACTCGCTTGTGGGCATTATGAGTCCTGCAAATGCATAGAGACTCCCAGAACTTCAGAGAGACTTGGGATGTCTGTATATCACGTTTAACAACTGTAATGAAACGCGATCCAGCGGTACATTCTTGATAAACTCTCTGAAGTGCACTGCTCTCTGGAGCTCAGAGGAGCGCATGACAGTGTGTGTTATTTTAATACTAAGGTGTATTAGTGTAAACGGGGCCTGAGTGTGTATTATTCGTGAGTGGGTTTTTTGACGGGGGCAGGGCGGAGGATCGGCGATGCCGGCTCAGCATCGTGTTGTCTATCGGCCATCGGCAGTGAACGATTGCATCGTCTATCGGCCCAACCCTAGTTGTAGGTTTTAAATATTTTTTTAACAGGTCTTAATTTTTCTTTGTTCTTATATTGTTACTCAATCTGGCCAAAACCCATACAATCACCAACAATAAATCTCAATAAAACGTTAAACTTTATTTTAAACAGTATTTTTAAATTATTTATCATAATTTTAATTATTAACAAAATTAACTTTTGTTTAAAAGTTCCTGGACAGATTGTTGTGCATAAATTTAGTTTATTATATATTTTTTTAACTTTTAAAACATTTGTTAATTTAAAAATAAAAATAAAAAAGTTCATATTGGAAAAAAAAGTGTATGGATACAAGTAGAGCTTGCTTGTTTTTACACAATATTTAAAAATATTTTGCTGAGAAAAAATATATAAAAATGTTTTGTTATTGCATCATTATTATTATATTGTATTAAATATTGTATTATTATATTGTTACATTATTATTGTATTAAATTATAATATTTTTTGAATGGACAAAAAAAATCTTTTCCATCTGGGCCATTTGAAAAATCCCTTAGCCTTCAGCCCTTAATGAGTCTAAAATTTCTTTCTTAACGGTCTTAAAAATTTCTTAAAGTCTTAAATTTAACTCTGTGAAACCTGCAGAAACCCTGTTCCATTTAACACATCATATTTTAATCTTAATATTATTTCATTTAATTATCGTCATTTTAACAATTAGGCATTGGAAATGTGAAGGCGCATGTCCTAAATTGTTTGCAAATATATAATCAATCACGTTTTTAATGATAATGAAAATTTGAAACCGTAATCCTAACAATCAGAAAATGCGTTGTGGTTTACCTTGAAACTGGTTATGTGACAACACTAATTCATTTAGCCAGAAAGAAAGAAAGAAATCAAAAGTGGCTTGCCTTTGCGTTACATTTCCATGTTTTCCTCCTGTAGGATAAAGATCTGAAGCAGTACATGGATGACTGTGGAAACATCATGAGCATGCACAACGTCAAGGTCCGTCCTTAATTATTTGAGCAGCTGATGGAATGGATTTAACAAAAACAAAGTTTGTTGGGATAGTGTTTGTGTCTGATCTTGTAACTCACAAAGTGTACATATGCATGTGTGTGTCTGCAGATTTTCCTCTTCCAGATCCTGCGAGGTCTAGCGTACTGTCACAGACGAAAGGTTCTGCACAGAGACCTCAAACCACAGAACCTGCTCATCAACGAGAGAGGAGAACTCAAACTGGCCGACTTCGGTACGATTAATCATCAAATAAATATTTTATTGAATGCACATTCATTTGTGTGACAGATAAATACAAAAGCATAAACCATTTATATTCAACTTCTATTTAATAGAAATTATTAGTTTCATTTTTACATCATTTTCTGTGTAGTTTATTTTTATTATATATTTAAAATGACATGTATTTATATTTATTTGTTGTTATTTTATATAGAACATAAATACATGCTTGTAAATATCAAATGAAATTTTGAACAAAGATATTATGAATATTTTAAAGATTCACTTCTTTAAACAATAAATATGTACAGTATGTGAATATAGTATACTGTTTAATGACGTGAATAATTAAAATATATGTTATGTATTATGTTTTTATAAAAAATGTTATTTGCTATAGGTATATTTGTAAGAAAAATACACTTGTATATACAATAATGAAAAAATATAAATAAAGATATAATGTATATTTTGGTAATTCACGAAAAAATTATATGGTTAAATTATGGTTAAATACTGTTTTATACTGTGAATCATTCATATATATATATATATATATATATATATATATATATATATATATATATATATAGTTTCTTTTTTTATAAAATATTTTGCTGTAAAATATACTTATTTTTCAATAAAAATGTATTTGCTTATATTTCTTTTTATATTTTATAATACTAATTACAGTTGAGCCTGAAATTATTCATACCCCCGGCAAATTTTGACTTTTTTTGTTCAAATGTAAATAACAGCTGAGAAATATGTTTTTTACCACAATGTACATCATCTTATTATCTTTTAGGAGAAGCCTGCATCATTTCCAGTTCCAGTGACGTTAATTAAATGTTAATAAATACTCATTATTTATTTTTTTGTATATAATTGAGTATAAATTAGATTTTTTTATACGAACATTAAGTTGTAAATGTTGACATTATTTAAATGTTAAATGACATGGTTATTTATTTATTCATTTAATTATTTATTTATATAATAATTATATAATAATTAATATAAAATAATTGATTTTAGATTTACAGAAAGATTGCCATACCATGTAGATAGACCATACCTGATAACACTTTTAAACACAGCTTGATAAAATAACTACATGATTTTCTTATCAACACCATAAAACCATAACCTTCGTAAAAAATTCAGTCTTAGGTAAAGCTTTTCACAGATCCAATAATATATTTAAATATATATGAGATTTATTTGATTATCTACTGAGCAAATCATTATACAATGACTAGCCTAATTAGCCTAGTTAAGCCTTTAAAAGTCATTTTAAGCTGAATACTAGTATCCTGAAAAATATCTAGTCAAATATTGTTTACTGTCATCATGACAAAGATAAAATAAATCAGTTATTAGAGATGAGTTATTAAAACTGTTATGTTTAGAAATGTGCTGAAAACATCTTCTCTCCATTAAACAGAAATTGGGGAAAAAAATTAACCGGGGCTAATAATTCAGGGGGGGCTAATAATTCTGACTTCAACTGTATGTGAGCCTTTTATAGTAATGTTTGTGTGTGTGTTTTCGCAGGTCTGGCACGAGCCAAGTCTGTTCCCACAAAGACGTACTCTAATGAAGTGGTGACCTTATGGTACAGACCTCCTGATGTGCTGCTGGGCTCCTCTGAGTACTCCACGCAGATCGACATGTGGTGAGAGTCACTGCGCTTTTACACTCTTATCATTTACGTTCAGGCCATCCCACCGCATATCTCCCTCTGTCTATTCTTAAGAAGAAGAGTTAAAAATCTCTCTCTGTTTCAGGGGTGTTGGATGTATATTTTATGAAATGGCTGCAGGTCGGCCGCTTTTCCCAGGATCCACTGTTGAAGATGAGCTGCATCTAATCTTCAGATTACTGGGTGAGGACACACAGACACATGCATACACTGACAGAGATACCCACACATGCACCCACATACACACATTCATACACACACAAACATCTACAGACAGACACGCACGCACACACAGAAACACACAACCAGAAACAGACGCACAGACATACACACAGACAGACATACACATTCACACACACATCCACATGCACACAGACACACATGACTACAGACAGACACATATGCACACACACAGACACATGCACACACAGAAAAACACACACACACTCAGACACTCTCACACACGCAAACATACACACACAAACACATACAGTACACACACACTTAAACACACGAACACACACACCCACAAAAAGACCCGCACAGACACAAACGCATAGACACACACTAGACACACAAGCAGAAACAGACACTCACTCACACACACACAAACACAAACACCTTCTCTCATGTCCAAATAAATGATTCAATTCAGAGGTTGTGCGATGAAACGCACTCTTCAGCTCCAGACATTACGACACTAAACACACACACACACACACACATCTGACGCAGAAGTGATTCTCACCTGCTTCAAAAACAAACTGCAACCATCTGACACACACACACACACACACACACACACACACACTGACTTTCGCATGGAAACTATGAGGTCACATGCTCTGTTAGCAGAGTAGAGCTGAAATCCTCTCCGGCTGACCCTCACCTGATGTGCTCTTACTGGAGTGTGGAAAGAGCGGCGAAAATGAGCAAGAAATAATATGGAAATATGAAATATTGTAATAGTTTTGAAATGAGCATGAGGATAGAAGATGAAAGGGTTTGTTTTCTATTTAATGCATGTATTAAATAAAAT